GGACGGCCTACTACTACTACTACTACCACCACCACCACCACCACGACCACGACCACCACCACCACCACCACCACCACCACCACCACCACGACAACGACGACGACGACGACGCTGCTACTACAACTACGACTGCTAGGTGGACGAGTGCTCTTGATACTGGCCTTACGGTTGATGATATACCCATAGTTTGGGGTCCATTGAGGTAATGTAGGACTTATATCATCAACAGTGGGACTTGAAGCAGGACGGAAAGTTTTCTGTCATGTGGCTCTTTGGCACTCTCTGAACTCTGGGGTTTCTGCCATTTCGACCGCCGTGGCCCAGAAGCCCGTAAATTATGCACTTTAAACCCGCCACCTGAACCCTAAAACCTAAAGCCTAAACCCTAAACCCTGAACCCTCCAACCTGAAACACAACCCCCAATCGCAGCATGTAGCCGACCATGAGGCAGATGCAGCCTGGAGGTGGAGGCATTCTAGTTTGGTATTACATCATAATATAGGGGCCTTGATAATTAGAATAGGGTTTTGGGGATATATTATACCAGAATTATAATAAGGAACCCCCAAAACCCTATTCCAATTAAGGCCCTTACATTAGAGCTCTTAAGCAGGGCCACGTTTATTTGTTTCAGCCTTTGCATTCCGTGTTGGGGCATCCCTTGACCAGGCGAATGAGCGTCCCTGCTTTGGCTGGCATGAGGCCCGACAAATTGCACAAGAATAATGACAAACTTCGGCATCAAACAATAGCCGCTGTTTTGGTGATCATACATCACAAGATAATGGAAGTAGTCGGCATGCGAAGACAAAGAGCCCACCTCGAAGCAGCAGCAGCAGCAATTGCAGCGGCAACAGTACGTACAGCCAGAAAGGCAACAGCACTGATGTGAAACAGGCACAAGACGCAACAGTGACACCAGCATGGAAACATAGAAATACCTTTCGTACTTGGGAGATGAGCAGTCGCCACGGCAGTAGCAAAAACGGTCATGAAACCTATGGGCCCTATAGCATGCGCAGCAATCACAGCGGCATGTGGCGCTGTACAAGTAGCGAGGAGGGTATCAGCTGCAGAGGTGTTCTCCATCAAGGTTTTTTGGAGCGCCGGTTCTGGACTTCGGTTGTAGGTTTCTGGATACTAAACTCCCACACTCTTTTAACATGTTAACCCTATATAGTACATACTTATAGGCCGAAAAGTACCGACATAGGAGTCCATGTACCTATATAGTATAAACTTTTAGGCCTTAAGAGTACCTACATAGGAGCCCCCATTAAAGGCCTTAGTGTACTACATTGGTACATGGAGCGACAGGAGTTAAGAAAGTGCTCCCGCTCTCAAGTTTCCCAGATTCATCGGCCCGCGGCACAAGTCATGACTCGGACACCCACCCCAGAGGACGCGTGACCTTCTGCTGTTTCCTTTAAACAGTCTCAACATCCCGGAAGTTAGTGCAGAGAGCTAGCTCGAAGTCGACACATCGAGTCCGAAATAGCAGGGAGGAAACCAGCAAGGGGCACACTCCTATAACACGGGTTGTGAGGGCGTACCAAAGTACCGAAGCCTTGCTCTCGGTTCTCACGCGGGCAGGTGCGGTTGCCCGTTTCCGTAGAACTCAAGGAGGCTGCACTTCTTCGGGCACATCCCATTCCCCTGCTCAAATCTGACCAGAGATTGTGCATCCCCCATGCTGCGGATCCGAATCTCAGATCGGTAACCCCACCCAAACGTAAACCACGAAGCCGTGCACCTCCGGAGCCCTACACCCTAAATCCTAAAACCCCCCATCCCTAACACCACAAAAGCCCTAAACCCTAAACTCTAAAACCCCCGAACCCTATCACCACAAAAGCCCTAAACTCTAAAACCCCCGAACCCTAACACCACAAAAGCCCTAAACCCTAAAACCCCCCACCCTAGCACCACAAAAGCCCAAAACCCTAAACCCCCAACCCTAACACCACAAACCCAAAACCCTAAAACCCCAACCCTAAACCACAAAAGCCCCAAACCCTAAAGCCCCCAACCCTAACCCACAAACGCCCCAAACCCCGGCGAGCCAGCGAGTTTAGGGTTTAGGGTTTAGGGTTTAGGGTTTAGGGTTAAACCCTAAACCCTAACCCACAAACGCCCCAAACCTGGGAGGCTCACCACGTCCTCCTTCCACCGCAGAGCACCGAAGAGCTGAAGCTGGAGGCGGCACGCGGTGCGTTTTTGCTTTTAGGGCTTGTCGTTTAGGGCTTACAAGGGTTTAGGGTTCAGGGTTCAGGGTTTAGGGTTTAGGGTTTAGGGTTTATCGTTTAGGGCTTGGAGTTTAGGGTTTAGGGTTTAGGGGTCAGGGTTTAGGGTTTACGGTCAAGGTTTAGGGTTTAGGGCTTCTAGGGTTTAGGGTTGAGGTTTTAGGGTTGAGGGTTTAGGGCGTGATATAGGGGCCTTGATAATTAGAATAGGGTTTTGGGCCCATTATACTATTCTTCGTCTTATTAAGGAACCACCCATAATAGCGTAGGGTCCAGGGTTCAACTGTTCAGGGCTTGAGTTTGGGTGTAGAATCTAATGTAGGCGGCTTAATAATTAGAGAAGGGTTTTGGGGGGTTCCTTATTATAATTATAGAGTATCCAATATACCCCCCCCAAACCCTAAACCCTAAACCCGAAACCCCAAACCCTACTCTAATTATTAAGTCCCTTATATTAGGTTATTAGGGTTTAGGGTGGGCAGGTTTGGCTTTGGGGCGGAAGGCTTAGGGTTTCACAGCTGCAAGCGTAGGGTCTCGGGTTTGCGGTTGAGGGTTTAGGTGTTTTGGGGTTTAGGTGTTTAGGGTTTAGGTTTTCGGAATTAGGGTTTAGGGTTTAGGGTTTCGGGATTAGGGTTTTGGGAGTACTTAGATGGATCAACAGATAGAAAGAGCGATAGACAAAAGATAGAGATGGATAAAGAATGATTCCTTTATATATTCACGTACCCGTTTCGGCTCCTACAAGGCAGTAAGACCTTCCTGAGAGTATAGCTTGGAACTTGACAGACAAAGTCGGGATGTCGGAAGCCAAGAGCGATGGTAGATCCGGAAATAGGATCCGGTGCTTCAGCAAGGTGACTGTTTTCG